CAATTCAATCTTGTGCCCACGAACACGTACTCACTCCCCCGAAGAAGGGACTGGTGATCGTGACTAGGATGCAGTCTACGACGCGATGAAAGCATGCTTTTAGCATTTTTCACTGCAACCCGCAAAGAAGGTGTAACGCCCACTACAAGCTCATCACGCCCGTGACTATGAGGCTTGTGCCCACGAAGGTCTAATGTCTATTTATATCAGGCTTGTTTGGTTGTGTTATTTTTATCCCCTAAGTCTATATTTTGAGTGTGTATTTTGAGAGAGTACTCGTAGTGAGATTACATTGTATATTTCTCTCATGTTTGCTTGATGATTCATTCTCATTTGATCTTACATGAAAATCATCAAGTCTAAACCCAAAATCACAAAATAGTTCATGAGTGTTGTTTAAGGAGTGAGTGTGTCATGGATTCGACATCTCTCTAGTAAAGGCGAATATCCACAGATTGAAGGATAGAGATTAGCTACTTGTAGGTCTTGAGCAAGCATATGTGCCTGGATTGGTCGGTGTAAGAAATCTTTTGTACTACTCTTCTTCATAGTGGATTGTTATTACGGTCGAGAGCTTGTGGTTTTTTAATCACATGTTAGTGGATTGCAATTGTGATTTTTCCACGTAAAAATCTTTGTGTTGTGATTGTTATCTATTCTTTCTTGTATTGTTGAGCTCGGTTAGTTTGAATCGATTTAAGTAATAATCACAAGATCATGGAATTATAATTTTTCAGTTACGATTTAGTTATAATTGATTGCGGTTGTTATTTTAGTTATGTTCGAAAAAGTTTTTAGTTATATCTCAAATGATGTTTACTTATTACCTATTGTGGGATTGATTATAACTTAATTATAATTATTTTGGTTATAATTGAAAATGTATGTGGTTATGCCTCAACTGATCTTTAATTATAATCCATTGTGATCTCTTTTAATTATGACTAAAATTGATTTAATTTTGACACTTTGTAATATAAATCTATAACTATTATATAAGAGTGTTGTTATTAGCAACTGCCTAAATTCTTTGGACCTCCTAATTTCTAATTTTTCTTTTGTTACAATTATACCCTAAAGTAAAATTACATTAAAAGACATCATTTAATGGAACACCTACCTACCAAATAAGAACTAACACTCTACAATATTGTACACCCACCCCCCTCCTCCACCTCCAGTTAATGTACTTTACCTTTCTAAACCCTAAACCTGTTATAACCAACTAGTATCAATCCTAAACCTGTTACTCTTCATAACCATCTTAAACCATGAATGTATCATCTTCATCACTATCATAAACCCTCATGAGCTAAAAACCAGGGCCGGTCCTCAGTTATTAGGGGCCTAAGGTAAATTTTTTAAATTGGGCCCTTCATATATCATTAACCAAAAAAATAAAAATAAAAATAAAATAAAAAATAAAAAATTGTTTGGATAAAACAAAAAGGATAAAAATTTATTTCTATTGCACTACAATTTAACAAAATTTAGATAATATATATATATATATATATATAATAGTTCAATTTCAATTAGTTGAATTGAATCTTTATTTTTTAGCTTACCAATGCTATAAGAACAAAATTAATTGGGGGTAATAATGAGAATTTTCGACACAACTCAAGCAATATATAAAATTAGCAAGTTAGGGTTGACTATTTTTCAACATGAATCCAAGTATGACACAACTCAATAATATGAATTATTAGTTATATATTGTAATGTTCACTAAGGGATGCCATGACATTTTTTTAATATTTTATTTAACTCCATCTAACTGCAAACAAAAGTATGTAAAATAATAATTAAGCTATTATCTTTTTTTCATTTAAGATATGTATTTTTCGTTGCCTATTTTAGAGACATCTAGTAAAAAATATATAGTAATAAGGTACAATTTTTTTAATTAGAAAAATGCAATTGAATTGAAATCAAATATTCTATGAATAATTTCATTTAGTAGAAAAATTTTATAAAATTCAACTTATGGAAAAATTTTAATCACTCCATACACTTGCTAAGTTATTTTTAACTAAAAGTAAATGTTTTCACATTAAACATTAATCGGACACAAATCAAAATAACATCATACGACAACATGAAAATAAATGGATTGAGCTAATATTAAAGTAATTATGAAATAACATGACATGATACACACCCCTTATTGGGGTCCTAAATTTTGTTCAAAATTAGGAGCCCGAGGCGATCGCCTTGGTCGCCTCACCTCAGGGCCAACCCTGCTAGAAACCTTGAACCAGAAAGCTTTTTTCAAGTCAAACGTATTACTTTTCATTAGTTATTTCACCTTTTAGAGCAATAGAGAACGATGACAATAATTCTAATGAGGTTGGCGTTCCATTGGTGAGTTATCTATCATGCATTAACATTCTCAGTCGTTTTCGATCGTTGTTGTTTTCTTCGAGCTATTTGGTACTGGTTTGCTGACTATTAAGATTATATTTGGTCACACAATACTGAACACAAACATTTAGTTCAATATATAGGTTCTGAATAGTAATGCAGATAGTCGGTACTAGTGTACTGAACGGTTCGATTTTTGTATTTTCAATACCAGATTGTGTTTTTCGTGAGAGTGTTTTCCTCTAAAATCCCCTTTTACACCGAAATAAACCAAAAAAAAAAAAAGAACTCAAAAATGTAATAGGAAGAAGAGAGGTAATGTTGTTGATAATATAGGGAGTCAGTATTTACGTGAGAGGAATTTCCAACGAGTTTTCTGCAATGATGGAAAGGAATTTATGTCGATGCAATGCTCTTCACTGAGGCAATGGTGTTTACAAATGCAATGACCATAGGCATTCTTTTCAACAAGAGATGGACAATCATCAAAATGAGAAGGAGAATGGGTGTGCAAAATTAGGTGGGTGTGCCCTTATGTGTTATAATATTATGAATAGAGGTAAATTTGATATTAATTGGGGTGTTTAAAAAAATCTCATTGAAATTTAGGATTTAGGGTGGAGGCTCAAAGAATAAGGGTTCAAAGAATTTAAACAAGTGCTAATAGCAGCGCTCTTATATAAAAATAAAAAATAAAAAATAAAAAATTGCAAGCATATAGGTCACAATTGAATCTAACTCATATAAACTCCCTAATATAACCTTGTGCTACGTATAAAATAGCAGATGAACCAAGCCACCGCTTGAAGAACAATTGAGATGTATACGTGTGCTATGTTTGGGTAGGATTCTTTATGTGTGGCAGGTGCAACCAACTCCAGATTACACATGTGCTTCACAACCAACTTCCTGGCCAATAGGAAGCCACCATTTGTTATGTTCTTATCCTTCTTGATCAGTTCTTGTACGCAATTGCAACTGAAGCTTCATCTTCACAATTGTTGATATCGTAAACTGGAACAGTGAACAAAGACTTGCGATAAGAGACCTGCTACCTTTGCTTTTTTGCTCTTCATTGTCATTTATGTCTAATTATATATAATTATATATTTGGTTCGTACCATTAGGTCAATGGTAAAATCTTAGCCTAATAAACTTGAGATTATAGGTTCAAGTATTGGGACAATCACTTTGTGCACTATGCCAAAGGTTACGTGTGTACCCAATCTTTTTCCTTCCAAATACGCATTAATGTATATTATTTGTGCATTATTTTTTTACAATGTGTATTTGTTCCCAAAACTAATGCTATAACTGTCATGCAAATTGACCAAGTATTTGCTCATATGTGCATCAAAGCTCTATATTGTTTGTGTACCTACGATGTGCCTTGATATTTCTTCTTCATTGAGTCCCATATCTGCTTCGAAGTTTCTTTCCGGAGAATGGTCTCTAGAATTGTACGATGAATTGCCTGAAATAAGTAATTTTTCACCTTGAGATCCTTTCGTCTTTGTTCATCGAGTCTCTTCTGTTGTGCTTCTGACAAAACTGCTCCAGTTTTCGGTTCCATAAAGCCGGTTGCCACGAGAGTCCAATATTCTTTGGATCGTAGAAAATTCTCCATCAACATGCTCCAGTGATCATAGTGACCATCGAAGCGAGGAATAGATGGCTGGACATAGTTATCGACGACCTTGTCAGCCATGAATGATTGCTACTGATAGTAAGAAGGCTGCTGCTTCTAAGGAGAATTTCTTGGTAGCTCTGATACCAAATGTGAGGAAAACATAACGTAATCAAAAGAAAAATGTTGCTGAACTTCTTAATTTATTCATTGACTGAAAGCAACTTTTAAATAGAATATACAAAACAAACTTAGCAGATAATGTGGAACTAATCTTGATCCATAACTAACAGACTTTCAAGATAATAGAATACTCCTAAAACTTAGGACACTACAACTGACTCCCAGAAGAACAGGACAACATAGACTTATTCAAAGAAATAACAATAATTAAAATAAACTCTTAACATTTAAACTGTGTTTGATTAGAGGGTTTGATAAGAAAAATGAAAAACACAAGAAAAAAGAAAGTGAGAGAAAAATATAATCCTACTTTTATCTTTTGGTTCACTTAGATTCTTTTCTTTTTTCTATTTCCCAACTCAACTATATAACTTTAATTCAAATTATATCAATTCTTTCTTATTTTGTTTCTACATCTACTTCTCTTTTCCTTTACATTTCTATTTCCCTCGTCAAATCCTTCTATCAATCAAACAGAGACTTTAATAAAATGCCTCAATGTTTTCTTTAAATTTAGGTAATGTGGCATGAAATCATTAGATGTCCGTAAACCACAACATTACGTCACAGCCGTGTAACACTCAATTCCAACTTACATATGACTTGTATAATGTATTTCGTAGAAGGATCCAACTTTTAAACACCTTATGAAATCTTCGGGTGTGTGTGTGTGTGTGAATGTGCCTTTATTTCACAAGGAAAATATAAAAAGGAAGTTGATTTGAAGCTTCCTCTTTCTTTCTCCTCATGTGTGTATGAAGTTGCTTATGTAGTTGCAGTTACAATTTCAGTGAAGGCAGAGCCTAAAACACTACAAAGAAAAAGGAAGAGAGAAAAATAAGTTTATTTTCACATTAAAATTCAAAAGTTAATTGGTGTTTGTTATCTCTTTTAACAACCATGAACAAAACTCGAATCTTAAAAAGTTTTGAAACCTCTGTCATTGCCACACCAAATACAACCCTCCCACCACCAACACAAGCACCGCCACCCTAAATTTTGCTAGATATGCACCACCCAAAAAACCCAACACCCACCTCTAAAACATCCAAAATAACCCCAATAATATCCCTCCAAATCCCTTTCTCCATATTTACCCTCCAGTTCCTCACCCTGCCCTTGCATGCAAACCCCCAACCTACTGATTTAGAACAAATAATCCTACTGAAAATGAAACAACACTGGTCTAATCCACCATCCATCAGCCACTGGACTCCACCCTCAAACTCCAACTCCACCATCCACTGTCACTGGCCGGAGATCACCTGCACCAATGGCTCCGTCACCGGACTTTCTCTCATCAACAAAAACATCACCGGGACAATCCCACCGTTCATTTGTGACCTCAAAAACCTCACTGCCGTTGATCTCCACTACAATTACATCCCCGGACCGTTCCCTACGGTTCTCTACAACTGTTCCAAGCTGGAACATTTAGACCTCTCCCAAAACTTCTTCGTTGGCCACATTCCCGGTGACATTGACCGGTTGTCAACCCAGCTCCGGACCCTCAACCTCAGCGGCAACAACTTCACTGGCGACATTCCAGCAGCCATTGGCCGGTTTCCGGAGCTCACAGCGCTTAGCCTTTTTCAAAATGAATTTGACGGTTCTTTCCCTCCAGAAATTGGAAACTTGTCAAATCTTGAAATGCTGGAGCTTTCGGATAATGAATTTGTGCCGATGGCGATACCGCCGAGCTTTACCCAGTTGAGGAAACTTAAACAACTATTGATCAAAGATTCAAGTTTGATCGGAGAAATCCCCGAAACAATTGGGAATTTAACAGAGCTCGAGGAATTGGACTTGTCAAACAATAACTTGACTGGTACCATCCCAACTGGTTTGTTTCTGCTAAAGAATCTAACAACATTGTATCTATTCAAAAATCACTTATCCGGGGCAATTCCTCGGCCCATTGAAGCTTTGAAGACGGAGATAATTGATTTATCCCAAAACAACTTGACCGGAACAATACCTGATGATTTTGGCAAACTAACAAAGTTGTCCGGTTTGGCTCTGTTTTACAATCAACTCTCCGGTGACATACCAGAAACCATTGGCCGCCTTCCTTCGCTGAGAGATGTAAAATTGTTCTACAACAATCTCTCTGGAACATTGCCACCAGACTTTGGGCGATATTCGAAGCTCCGGGGGTTCGAGGTCTCCTCGAACAGTTTCACAGGCAAGTTGCCACAGTACTTGTGTGCTAACGGTGGACTATTAGGAATTGTGGCTTTTGATAACAATTTGAGTGGTGAATTGCCTAATTCAGTTGGGAATTGTTCAAGTTTGTTGATTGTTCGAGTTCATGGTAATCGCCTTTCCGGTAGTATTTCTCCTGGCCTGTGGACATCACCCAATCTGACAATATTGATGCTTAGTGACAATTCATTTACCGGTCAGCTTCCAGATACACTGGCCCCAAATTTATCTCGACTCGAAATCAGTAACAACAAGTTTTCAGGTGGAATTCCATCTGGGTTGTCTTCTTGGAGGCATTTAACAGTGTTTGGTGCAAGTAACAACCTCTTTAGTGGTACACTACCTCACGAATTGACAGCTCTTCCTCTTCTGACAACTCTTCTGCTTGATGGGAATCAATTTTCGGGTCATTTGCCATCAGATATCGTGTCCTGGAAGTCGTTAACATCTCTGAATCTTAGTCGGAACCAGCTCTCTGGTTCGATTCCTGCCAAATTTGGTTCTTTACCTAGTCTCACTAATTTGGACTTGTCAGGGAATCAGTTCTCAGGTCAAATTCCACCTCAGATTGGGTTTTTGATGCTAATTTCTCTCAATTTGTCTTCCAATCGTCTCACCGGTAGAATCCCAGCTGAGTTGGAAAAGACATTTTTCAATACCAGTTTCTTGAACAACCCCGGCCTTTGTGCAAGTAATCCATCACTAGGCTTTGATGTTTGCTATTCCGGATTTAAAAACTTGAGCACGATATTCAAGGCAATCTTACTGGTATCAGTTATGTTACTCACATTCTTTCTAATCAAAACTCGCTGGAAAAGAGGGTCCAAATTGGATTCCAAGTGGGAGCTTACCCACTATCAGATATTCAATTTAAGTTTCGAAGTGTCAGACATTTTATCTAATTTGACAGAAAATAACGTGATCGGATGTGGTGGGTCAGGAAAAGTATATCGTGTTGATTTAAACCGTTCAAGCCAAATTGTAGCAGTTAAGAGGATTCAATGTATTAAAAACTTGGATCAAAAGCTCGAGAAGGAATTCTTAGCAGAAGTTCAAATACTGGGCACAATTCGCCATTCCAACATAGTGAAATTGTTGAGCTCCATTTCTAGTGAGACTACAAAACTTCTTGTTTATGAGTATTTGGGAAACCATAGCTTGGATTGCTGGCTCCACGGAAACAAGTGGCAAAGCATATCGGATTCAATCCACCGTGTCGTCTTGGATTGGCCTAAGCGGTTACAAATAGCAGTGGGAGCTGCTCGGGGGCTATGCTACATGCACCATGACTGCAAACCTTCAGTAATTCACCGAGATGTAAAATCAAGCAACATTCTATTGGATTCTCAGTTCAATGCAAAAGTTGCAGATTTTGGCCTAGCAAAGATATTGGTAAAGCATGATGAGCGTAACACTATGTCAACCGTAGCTGGATCTTTTGGGTACATCGCTCCAGGTAAGTAACATATAAGTTTACGTATTTTTCTGTTTATTTGTCTTTAATGAACTTTTTTAATATTGCGTTTAACATTTTAAATTTTTTTATATAAAAAAATGGCTTATTTTTGTCTTTAATAACATTTTTTTTTTAAATCTTCATTGCAAATCATGGTGGGAACTGCTCAGGGGCTGAGCTAAAATTTTTTAAATAAAATTTACTAAAGACAAAAAATTTTCTTATTGTAAAAAAATCCTAAAAGAGTTTGCTTATTTTTAGCCTTAATGAACCATTTTTGAAAAAAAAAAAATTATTTATTTATTTATTTATGTATTTATTTTTTAGATTATCTAGTCTAGATGAACCTAAGATATAAAAATCTTGACTCAAAAATTAAAAAAATTCACTAAAGACAAATAAGTCAAAAAAATCAATCAACTTATAAGTTGCAATCAAAACAACTCTAAAATTTATTTTACATTCATACTTTTTGGCATTCATCTTTTAAACTATATATGAATTTTAGAGTATGCTCGTACAAGAAAAGTGAACGAGAAGGTTGATGTATATAGCTTCGGTGTTGTCCTTCTGGAACTAGTTACCGGAAGGAAAGCCAACGATGGGAATGAAGATATGGGCCTAGCCGATTGGGCATTTCAATATTATAATAATCAAGAAGGAAACCACATAGCTGATATCCTAGACGAGAAGGTTACAAAATGTCATTACTTGGACAATATGACTTATGTTTTCAAGCTTGGGATCATTTGCACTTGCCCACTTCCCTCAAATAGGCCTAGCATGAAGGAGGTGTTGCGAATCCTGCTCAATTGCAATCACCAATCGAGATGTGGAGGGTGTAATGTTAGAAGCGAGTATGATTGCTCTCCTGATTTCCCTGATAATTTTAAGCACTGGAGGATTTTTGAAGGCCAAGATGGTAATTTGCTGTCCAAGGTTTAGTTACTCTTTTGATTTTTAAAGCCTGCATAAGCGTAGGGTTGTAAAACAAATTAAGCTACTCGTGCTCAGGTCACTAAAAGCTCATTTGAAATTGGCTCGCAATGTAAATAAGCTAAACACAATAATGTAAAAGTTTATTAAATTTATATGTCAAGATTGAACAACATTCTACACAGCTCTAATCTTGTATACTCATAAATAGGGATGTCCGCAGTTCAGATTTTGACGGTTTGCGGATCGGTTTGGACCCACCCGCATCTATGCGGTTTGGAAAAAAGTTAACCCACAACTGCCCGCAATGCGGTTTGTGATTTGTGCGGATAGGATTCGCAAATGTATGGGCAGTTTGCAGATTGAACTTTTTTATTCAAAAGTTTATTTTTGAGTCTTTTTTTTTTTCTTCCCATTTTGTAAATATTTATTTTGGACCCTTTTCCCCCCATTTTCTAAAATGCTCCAACATTAATAATTAATGAATTAAAAATTATAAAATTAAAAATACAACAAAATCAATTCGTAACACAGAAATTTCATACATATTACATAGACAAGCGCAGAGAAATTTCATCACTTGACTAATAGATAAAGAGAGGGAAAAAGAAAATAAAATAAATAAATAAATAAATAAAGAAGACTATTACATAGAAATTTCTTCCCAGTCAAGTGAGACTAAGACTTGTGTTTGGATTTGTAATAGATGTGAGATGCTTATGTGCACACAAAAAGGGTGCATATATGATATGCATTTTATAACATCATCTTCACAGAGCATGTCTCACATAGCATCATTTTCATGAAACAATATTTCTTAAAAATACAAGAATAGGCAATAGCATGTCTCAACCCAAAAAATGAGCTAAAGATCTATTCGAAAATATCTAGGTAGGATATATAGGAATGAAATAAGATTTTTTTTTTTTTAAATGTGCGGGCGGGTTTTTGCGGGTACGGGTTAAACCCGCAATCCGCAAACATGCTATATTTCTGATGATACAGTTTGTTTCAGTGAATGGATCGGACTGGTCCAAGCTCCTCAAGCCCAGGTCCAAATAATCAAGCCTACCGGATAACCTGCAAACAAGTTCAATGGGGAACGGGGTAGTCCCCCAGTGAACCCTCCGACGAGCAAGTCAGGAAGAGAAGTAGAGTGTAGAGGGTTAGATTAGAGATAGAAAAGCTTAACCTTCTTTTTGTCTTCAACGTTTGCTTATATCCTTTGGTAATCATTTCGCTGTCCCTTCCGACCTGACCTCCTCGCCGAAAGTCTATGCTGTAGCTTACCTTGTTCAGGGTAAGGGGGTCCTATTCCGACGGAGAGGTGTTGTCGTAATAAATGCTATGATGGGCTGCATTAATGGTGATGTGCAGTGGCAATAACTTTGCAGATCTTTGTCTGCTGATGTGGTTCGTCCTTCACTTGCCATGTGTCTGAATGTCATTGGCTCTTTATGCTATGTTGGATTCTAGCTGTCCTGGACCTCACCAGCTGGGTTATGTATTGGGCTCCAAGTGATGGGCTTGGGTTGTTCATAGTGATTCACGGCCTTCATGGGCTTATACATGTCAGTAGTCCCTCATTCCCGAGTACATCTTTAGTCCAACGAAGGGAATACTAATGAAGAAGATGAGGGTGTTAGGGATTGGCAGGATGGAGGTCGACCGGCAGTGGTGATCGAGAGGGGGAACCGACCGGGAGGTGGTCCGAGCGTGCAGGGTGACCGAGTGAACGGGCCGACCACGAGGAGGGCCGACCACGAAGGTTGGCCAAGTGGAAGGGTCGACAATAAGGAGGGCCGACCGCGAAGAGGGCCGACCGTGAAGGTTGGCCGAGTGGGAGGGCCGAACATGAGGAGGGCCAACCGCAAAGGGGGAGGTGGAGGGGCGTGGAGCTCGAGAGGCGGCGTGTCACGTGGTGATTTGAAGTAGAAAAGACAGGATAAGGGGAGGAGACAGTGGATCGTGGTCGTACACGTGGCAACATCTCGCGGGGGGGATGGGGGAGAGCAAGCGTTAGATCAGAAATGAAACGATAGGTCATTATGGGTGTTGAAAAGACAGTTTTGGCGGATGTTTTGAAAAGTTTTCAAACTGGCGAAAATTAATTGGGATCCTTGGAATACGGGCAAACCGTGGGCTTTTGGCATTATTCGATTCACCTGCTTGTTTACGAAAAATCAAAATAGTCCAAGTGTGAATTCCTTTGTTGCTCACGATACACCTCTGCAACACTTTTTCAATTTCCTTGCACTTGTATCCGAAGCGATTCGCAGACATACCACAGAAATGGCCCAAGAAGAAGCTGCGAATGTCAGGGTGGATCCACTTGGTGATGATGATGCAGTGGAGTTAGCACAGCAATATAGGATGGAGAGGGTGGGGGAGTCGGTGGTACGATCCCATGGTTCCACTATGATAGCAGCTCCAAAGCCAATCAGCCAGGCAAAACCAGATCACTGGCATACAAAGGCAGATAGATCAACGGTTACTGCAGCGAATTTAGAGGCGATTCGCGAAAAATACCAGGTGCCTGCTGAAATAGAGTTATTGTTGCCGATGTCGACGGAGAGGCCATCCGACGCCAGGTCAGGGGAGTTTGCCCTTTATGAGGAAGCATTGAAAGGAAGACTGAGGCTACCCCTACCGCAAGTGGTGGTAGATGTCCTGAATCGTTTAGAGATAGCGCCGGGCTAACTAATGCCCAATGCGTGGAAGATCCTACTGGCCTGTGCAAGTGCGTGGCCGAAGGCAAACGAAGGGGCGGCCATGACAATAGACGAATTCTTCGCATGTTACAAGGCCTCAGGGCAGCAAGAGACTTGGGTTACTCTGCAGGCAGCAGCAAGGAAAGGGCTGGTGACGAGGCTGCCGTCGTCGATCAAGGAGTGGAGGCCACGGTGGTTCTATGTGTCTGTCAGTGGAGGGGTTGGAGTGCGCACCATTTGGAAAGTACCCACCAAGTCTGTAGAGCCAAAGCTGGGATCAGCAGCAGAGGAGAGGGTGAAGAGGGTAAAGGAATGGAGGGAGAAGGAAGGGGCCAGATGGGACGAGCTCATTCAGCCGTCGGCTTTGTTTGGGGCAGGGTTGGGTCCACAGCCGAGTGGTGGGGACCTCGACCGAACGGAGTTTGAGGCAAAGAGGAAGGCTCAAGAGGCGGAGGACCAGACCATCTTGGCCAAAGCCCAAAAATTCAAAGAGTCGTAGGAAGATCGACCGCCAAAGCCGGTTGCGAGGGAGAGGATCCGACCTCGCCCCAAACCCTTGGAGGAAAAAGACTTAAGTGAATTTGTGCCACGACTGCCCCCAACAAATCCCTTAAAGGAGAGGGCTTTGAAGGAGATGGAGTTGGGGGGCGTAGCGAAGAAGAAGAGGAGAGTGAGAAGAAGTGAAGAAGAGCCTGCCTTGAAGAGAAAGGGGGAAGTGAGGGCAGAAGAGACCAGTGTGGCCAAGGAGGTAGAGAGAGGGGGAGTGGAGGAGACCCCAAGAAGGGTGGTCGTCCCAAAAGTGGGAGTAGAAGGTAGGGCAGCTAGCTCGGAGCCAAAGATAGGAGAGCAGCCCTAGGGGGGTCCTGCATCCCAGGGAGGGAGAGTCAGTCTGACTACTGCGATCTACCATGCTCGTGTAGTGGCTGGGTGGCTGGAGGGAGAAGAAGGCCCAGCCAGGGCAGGGGCAGACCGCCTGGTGGGAATTGTGGAGGAGGCAGCCTTGCGCTCAGCAGCCAGATTCAATGAGGCTGAGCTACTGAGGGGGTTATGCTCCGCTCAAATGAAGGTAACCACCTTAGCAGGGGCTCTGCTGAGAAAGGCGGGGGCTACAAAACTCAAGGCAGATGAGGCTGGGGCTCAACTTGCGAAGTTGAAGAAGGAGAGTGCAAGTTGGGAGAGTGCCCACGCTAATCTGTAAATGGTCAATGTGGAGCTGGAGAACACACGCCGCCAGGTTGTGTCGCTCGAGTTCCAACTGGCTGGCGAGCAGAAGAGGTTGGATGAGGCCCAAAAAGCCTGCGCGGTCGCGGTCGAACGACATGAAGAGGCGATGAGCAGTAATAGAGAGCGGGTCAGGCAGAAGGATGAGTCAGACGTGAAGATTGACGGTCTGCAAAAGGAGCTGGAGAGCGAGAGTGCTAAGGCAGTGGAAGAGAAGGAGAGCCTTCAAAAGGAGTTGGAAGCAGAGAGAGCCAAGGCGGCTGCTGAAAATGAGAGCCTTCAGAAGGAGTTGGAGGCAAAGAAAGCCAAGGCAACTGCTGAAAAGGAGAGCCTTCATAAGGAGTTGGAGGCAGAGAAAGCCAAGGCAACTGCTGAAAGGGCGACCCTGGATAAGGAGTTGGCGGAGGAGAGGGCTAAAGCAGCCTCTGAAATGGCGGCTTACCCCGATCTTTATGTGGCAACAATGGACCAGTTCAAGGGGTCTGCAGAATTTCAGATGGCAGTGGATGCCGCGGTCGCCAGTAGCTTGGCGAGGGAGCAGTCTGGGGGGGCGGGTCCGTCGAGGACGACTGCTGGAGGAAGGACTAAGGCAGAAGTGATTGAGAGCTTCCAGCGGTCAAACTTTTATAAGCACGAAATGGCTGAGTTCTGGGACAGTGGTTGGAAAATGTTTAAGCGTAAAGCTGAGGAGCTGTTCCCAGACTTGGACCTGAGTAATGTGAAAATCAATGACGACGATGTGGCCCAGACCCCCCTTGATAAGGGTATTGAAGAGGAAGACCTTGTGTCCAGTGAAGAGGAGTGGTTTGAAGAAGAAGAAGAAGAAAGCCTTGCACAAACCTTATGCGTTTGTGTTTGTTTTGTTTTTTGTTTTGAATGGCTGTAATGAACCCATGTACAAATTTCTGAATAAATAAAATTGTAATTATGTTTTCATTTGATTGTCTGTGCTTGTGCAACTGAAATGAATGAGGCGTGGGCGAGGCGTGTGTATAACTCATTGTGAAGTGCAAAGTAGAGTTAAACTTGCAATAAGAACTAAATTTAAGAACTCCTCAGTGTAGAGTGAAATTGAAGTTGTAATAAAAACTCAATGCAAGGTAAAGTTAGGAACTCCTCAATGTAGAGTGAAATTGAAAATGTAATAAAATTATAAGTTTGTGTTTGCCACACTGCTGAAGTAGATTAGTGGTTTATTGGAGTGAGGCTTGACTTGTAAGGAA